AAAAAAACAACCCATCACCCCCCCCCCCCCCCCCCCCCATTGTACACATTACAATGTGACTGTTTAATCTTCTAACAACTTCCTTTAGGGCCCATTCACCTTAGCATGTTGCAGTAATGCACGACAATGCACGTTACATACTTTGCTGCGCTGTGGTGACATTCAGTGTGATTGCCACTCTAATGCACCTTGCTGACAGACATTGTGGTGCCATGTGCTGCTGAAAGCATTGCATGCACACGTTTTGGTCCATTGGGGTGCATTGGGCAATGCAAACTGTCCGAATGTAATGCATACTAATGTGCGCTATAACACATGACTTAACCTTAGTGGGGTGATTGTGACCCCTCTTCTCCTACTTTCCCATAGCCATGACCCCCGGGGTGATCCCATATTCTTGTGTCTGGGGAAGAAAATGGGGTTTCTGTAGCCAATTGCACACAACAAAGAGCAGCCATCTGCAAGCACCAGCGGCTCCGGCTGTGATTGTCACCTGTATGAGGTGGGAATTTGCTTTTCTCATACTCTGCTCAGACAAGTTGGGAACACACGGAGCCCCCACCGATCCCGGCACCGCAGGAGACTCTGACGCACGGGAATCAACAGAACTCATAGACGTGACAGAACCGTCTCCACTGTCCCATAATACTGTTATTTTTCTATAGCATGTGCAAGTATAAAGAATCGCTCCACCCCGATGTCTCATATCTCTGTTGGCTCTATATAAATCCTGAATAATAATAATTAGGGATGGACCGATACCGATACTAGTATTGGTATCGGTGCCGATGCCAAGTATTTGGGCAAGTACTCGTACTCGCCCTAATGCTCCGATGCCTAGCCTCCTGATTGGCCCGGGAAGCCGGCTCCCTGCTCTCTCTCATCACTTGTGACGAGAGAGCAGGGAGCCGGCTTCCTGGCCAATCAGGAAGCCTGTGCAGCATGTAATGACTCGCTGCCCGGCCTCCTAATAGGTCGGAAGCTGGGCAATCAGGAAGCCAAGCGCCGTGTAATGACGCGACACCCGGCTTTCTGATTGGTCAGGAAGCCAGCTTCACGCTCTCTCTCGTCACCTCATGACGAGTCAGCATGGAGCCGGCTTCCTGGCCAATCAGGAAGCCGGGCGCCGCGTCATTACACGTCGCCAGGCTTTCAGGAAGTAGGCTCCATGCTTTCTCGTCACCTAGTCACGAAAAGCACGGGGACGGCTTCCCTGCTAATTGGGAAGCCGGGTGGTGAGTCTTTACACGCTGCCTGGCTTGGTATTCGGTATCAGCGAGTATGGAAAAAAAATATCGGTACTCGTGCTCGATACGGAAATACCGATATTGGTGCTTCCCTAATAATAATAATAATATCTATTGGGGACTGGATTGGTGAGGTCTCTGGTTTGCACACCTGCTGTGCCCATTATGAGCTGAATCCTTCTCTGGGTTCTGTAAACTGTAACGGAAAGTCTTCCCGTGGCAGAATCTGCAACAAAGTCTCCATTCTCCTGCAGCAGTCTTCTTGTCTAACATAACATCCCCCAGACAGAGGAAGGGACCCCAAACTGAAAAGCTCGGGTACAGATATCTAACCTACAGAAACATACAAAAGTGGTGGTGGTTGTGGGGGCGGGGGGTCGTGGTTACCAGATCAATGCCACCAGAACTGGAATTCCGGCTCAGGACATCCTGACCTTTAACAAGTAAAATAGTAACTTGAATGTAATCTATATTGTTACATCATTTACAGACTATGAGAATATTAATGCTGATATTAATACCCGCACCACACCTACTGGAGTGATTAAAAACAGTCCAAGCAGTATTATCCTGCACTTTTTTCAGCAAGGCAGCAGGCAAATGCAATTTTAATGCAGGAAGGCTTTGTACAACAAGTCCGTAGGACAAAACAAACTAAACTCAGGACAGCTTCTGACTAACAGGACACCCCATAATAGGTTCCACAGAACACACAGGCAGCACTTGTAGTATTTTAGCATTATGTCAGCACTCAGCGTTTTCACCCAGCAGCAGGAGAGAGAAAGAAAGGAAAGAGAGAGAGCCCTGAACATCACTTATCTCACATGTTTAAAGCAGAACCTCGGGCAAATAAAACCTTAAAGGAGAACTATGGGGTTAAGGCTTTTCCCCATAGTTCTCCTTAGGGTAACGGGAGGACACAAACTAGCGTGATTGGTGATTGGAGCGGGGAGAGGGGAATCCAGCCCCTCCCCTGTCACGGCAGAGAGCCGTGATCGAGAGGTGAGCGAACCCGGTATGTGTTCGCTCACCTCCCTACTGAGTCTCATTGTCACAGGTCGGCTAGAACTATGAGGTGAGTGAAAAGCACCCCCCTCCCCCCCTCATGGTTCTCCTTTAACTCTTGCACAGCACACAGTACAGTGCAAGCTTATACAGTGTACAGAATGTGAGGATGCCATGGGACATGCCTTCTCTGGAATGGGGGAGGAGACAGGCTGGAGGGGGCGGTGTAAGAGCCAGCCAGGGTTGCGATTCGGGTGAGTATAACTTTAGTTATTTTAGCTTATCTCTTGCAGGTCAGTGGTAGCCCTACAGCAAGGCTTAAGATTTTATTGGCCCGGAGTACTGCTTTAAAGGTTTGTGGGCAGTTGAGACTAATAGTGAGATCTGTCCAGCAGGTAAGATGTGGACCAAGGGATGCTCCAAAACAGGACTGGGTCTCCATAAGTGTCTGTGACCCCCAGTGGGGAGAACTTCTCATCCCCAGAGCTGTTAGCTGAACTTCCTCCCACTGCCGTACATTCTCCATACATGCCAATGGTGCCTCCCCTAAGGAGCTGTGACACCATAATGATGGCACCACTATTCAGTTGTCACTGCCCCCTAGTGGATGCTCCTTGTAAATAGATGGAGAATGCATACTCGAGAACCTTTGTGGTTGGATATAGAAGGAGATCCCACAGGCGGCAGTGAAGATGCAGTGAGGGAGTGATGGGCAGGGCCGGATTCCCGGCAAGGCCACTGAGGCCCGGCCTCGGGGCGGCACTGAGCAGAGGGGCGGCACAGGTTTGAATCACCCGACTCCCGGAACAACATCGTGATCCTTAAAGGAGAACTATGGGGGGGAGGGGCTTTCCACTCACCTCATAGTTCTAGCCGACCTGTGCCAATGAGACTGTCACAGGTCGGCTCAGTAGATCGGGAGGTGAGAGAACACATACCGGCGCTCGCTCACCTCTCGATCCTGTCACAGCTCTCTGCCGTGACATGGGAGGGGCTGGATTCCCCCCTCCCCGCTCCGATCCGCCAGCGCTGACTGGCGGAACGGACGGGGGAGGGGGCGGGTACAGCTGGCTCTGCCTCTAGATAGGAGGAGCCAGCTGTCAGTCACGCAGCTGGGCGGATCCCGGCACAATTGTCGGGATCCGCTTCAGCTGCGGCGTCTCAGTATACCGCGAGCATAGGGTGACGGGAGGACACTAAGGAGAACTATGGGGAAAAGCTTTAAGCTATGACGACCCCAATGACTGCATAATACATCATTAAACAAATTTTTTTTTTTTTTTTTAAGTACCTGAACTCAGCTAAAATGTAGTCCCCGTAGAACAGAATTCTGGGAGCAGCAGAAGCAGCCTGTTGTGCTGCAGTGCAAACGGTGCGCTGATAGCAGGAGAGATCAGTGTGACCAAAAGAGATGGGCTCATCAGTCTGCCGCTGCTCATTTCACTGTCCAATCCCAGGCTGGGAGAAAAGGACGAGACCCGTGAGCGTTGATGAACGGCGGAGGACAAAAAGCAGCTCCTACAATCTGCTAGATGGGGCTTTGGTGTGTAGCAGAGCTGTGTAAGTCCTAGGATTGGATGGACAGAAATACAAACCCCTTGGCAGGTAAAGCAGCTCCTATAGCTGCTTTTCTATTACTTTGCATTCTTGTTTGTCCAACATTCAGCTTTTTAGAGAGTCAGAGGGTCCCCTGCAGAGTACAGATGGGAGGTTTGCTCGGTGTTCCTGGAGAATGAATGTGCCGGGGAAGTTTGAGTTAATAGCAGAGGACTCGGGAGGTGAGCTGCACCCAGCCGGGATGGGAGGGAAGGGTCAGAGGCTGGAATAGGAGGACGCGCAGGGACTCCGGCATCATGTCAGGCCTCAGAGATGACCCGTTTATTTTCTCCTCCTCAGGGACCGGAGTCAAGACGTTCTTCAGCAGAGAGTCGTCGCCGACCAAGAAAGTGCCGGTAAGTCGCCCTGCGGGTCGGGCTGCCACCCACCCAGACGTCCGACGTTCTGGGCCGGAGAGGGACGCCGGCCCGCGTCCGAGTGACATCCGATTTCATGTCATTCTGCCCACAGCCATGCAGAGCGAGGTCTAAGCAGAGAGCAATGAACCCAATGCTGCGAGAACTGCTCCACCAGAGATCCCTACTCCAACATTATTACTCCAGAGATCCCTACTCCCACATTATTACTCCAGAGATCCCTACTCCATCATTATTACTCCAGAGAGTCCTACCCCAACATTATTGCTCCAGAGATCCCTACTCCCACATTATTACTCCAGAGATCCCTACTCCATCATTATTACTCCAGAGAGTCCTACTCCAACATTATTGCTCCAGAGATCCCTACTCCACCATTATTACTCCAGAGAGTCCTACTCCACTATTATTACTCCAGAGATCCCTACTCCAACATTATTACTCCAGGGAGCCTTACTCCAGCATTATTGTTCCAGAGATCCCTACTCCACCATTATTACTCCAGAGAGTACTACTCCATCATTATTGCTCCAGAGAGCCCCACTCCATCATTATTGCTCCAGAGAGTCTTGCTCCACCATAACTGCTATAGGGAATATATCTGGTACTATAGAGAGTGCTGATCCATTGTATCTATTACTATAGAAAGGGCCATTCTCAACCATGGTTCCATGGAACTCTAAGGCTCATGAAGATGTTGCTAAGGGTTCCTTCAGTTGATTGACCTCCCATCTAGTGATGCCGGCATAGTTTTGGGTCCAAAGCCACTCGACAGAGTCAGTAAAGGGAATTATTCCCACTGACCCCCTATGTAAGGAGCATTCTTCCCACTGACCATAGTTAAATCAATTTTAGTAAGGGGGTTCCCTGAGACCTGAAAATTATTTCAGGGGTTTAAATGGGCAAAAAAAGATTAAGAGAGGTTGCTATAGACCAGGGGTGGGGAACCTCCGGCCCTCCAGCTGTGGCGAAACTACAAATCCCATGATGCATCTGCCATGTCAACAACCATGCCTGTGGCTGTGAGAATCTTGCAATGCCTCATGGGATTTGTAGTTTCACCACAGGCTGGAGGGATCGGAGGTTCCCCGCCCCTGCTACAGACATGTTTGTTACTATGGTAATAGACTCCCGATATTTACTGATATTATACTTTGTACGTCTCACATATATCAGGAATTGCTTTACAGACGACATAGAAACAGTGACATCATCACCCGCTGACTCTCATGCGTTCTCTCCCCACAGAGAATATGCGGAACCAACTACCCGCTGAGTATCTTGTTCATCATCGTCAACGAGTTCTGCGAGAGATTCTCTTACTATGGAATGAAAGGTGAGTGGCGCCGGCTGATAACGCAGCTCGGATCTGATGGCTAATCATTGCAGCGCAGGCACACAGATGGATGCGGTCCAAAGTGCCGGGGAACGCCACCGAAGCATCATTTAGACCCGACCTTGGACGTTGCTTCCACTTTTATGGGTCTCATCGGCCATAAAAGGGACGGGGCGCAGCCGGTACACGACATTCCCTATCGAAAAACAAATGAGATAAACAGCAATCAGATGGCTATCAGTTTGATAACTCGGGCAGATCCGATCCGATATAAAACCAAATCCTTTATTGTGATCCATTTAAAGACAACGCAGAGACAAAAACGCACTTCTCCGGATGACGCGTTTCAGCCATTCAGGTCTGTAGCAAAACCAGCTGAAGGTCTCACGAATCCCCCCCTCCCCCCCCAATCACCTGCACTATGAGGACCTACCTAGACCACCCAGTGAACCGGTGTACAATCAGGTTGTTAATAGATCTCCAGGAGATTGTACAGTCAGGAATTACACAAAGGAGTATCTCTCAGCTAGCCCAGTATTCACAGTCCCGGTACAACTGGGAAGGATGGAGGTCAGATAGAAGACTGAAGGGGAGGACGGAGGTCAGATAGAAGACTGGAGGGGAGGACGGAGGTCAGATAGAAGACTGATGGGAAGGACGGAGGTCAGATAGAAGACTGAAGGGGAGGACGGAGGTCAGATAGAGGACTGAAGGGGAGGACGGAGGTCAGATAGAAGACTGGAGGGGAGGACGGAGGTCAGATAGAAGACTGATGGGAAGGACGGAGGTCAGATAGAAGACTGAAGGGGAGGACGGAGGTCAGATAGAGGACTGAAGGGGAGGACGGAGGTCAGATAGAAGAGTGAAGGGAAGGCCGGAGGTCAGATAGAAGACTGAAGGGAAGGGCGGAGGTCAGATAGAAGACTGAAAGGAAGGACGGAGGTCAGATAGAAGACTGAAAGGAAGGACAAAGGTCAGATAGAAGACTGTAGGGGAGGCCGGAGGTCAGATAGAAGACTGTAGGGGAGGCCGGAGGTCAGATATAATTGATCTCTGTGTTCTGAAGCCGCACAGCAGACCATTGCGATGATGCCGAGCACACAATACGCATTGTGGGAAACCATCGCTCGAGTTGGCAGACAATTATCTCCGTCTGTTGGACTCTACTGACTCGCCAACACTAATAAAGTCACATGGGGCACTTTGCACAGACAGGAAACGCGTTGCTTCGCCTGCAGTCAGGACAATCAATAGAAGTTAATTTGTGAAACAAACTTCATCAGAATAGGAGATTCGGGAGCTGAGCGCCGCCGGCGGACACACGGCCTAGAAATGAGACCATGAAAAACCTTCGCTGGTCATTCCTCTTTTCTTTCAAGATCGCATGAAGGAAATAAACCAAATCATTTAATGACCAGAACTCGGTCTAAACAATGTTATTTCTTCACTGGAAGGTTAGAAAAAAAAAGATGCCAAGGGCCACAGGTTGGGCCCCCGGGGGTTTACTGAGGCCCCCATCGCAGATTCCGCTTCTGTTGGTGACTTTGCACTGTATATGGAGTCACAGAATGATTGTCCTCTCTCTGGGGGGCTCAGTGGAAAGAGCGGAGAGAGAGAGAGGAGGGAGAGAGAGCGGAGAGAGAGGAGGGAGAGAGAGCGGAGAGAGAGAGAGCAGAGAGAGAGAGAGAGCAGAGAGGAGGGAGAGAGAGCGGAGAGAGATAGAGAGAGAGCGGAGAGATAGAGAGAGAGAAAGGAGAGAGAGAGAGAGGAAGGAGAGCGGAGAGAGAGAGGAAGGAGAGCGGAGAGAGAGAGCGGAGAGAGAGAGGAAGGAAAGAGAGAGAGAGAGGAAGGAGAGAGAGAGAGCGGAGAGAGAGAGAGAGAGAGGAGGGGGAGAGAGAGCGGAGAGAGAGAGAGAGGAGGGAGCGAGGGGGGAGAGAAGAGAGAAAGGAGGGAGAGAGAGGAGGGAGAGAGCGGAGAGAGAGAGAGGAAAGAGAGAGGAGAGAGAGTGGAGAGAGAGAGAGCGGAGAGAGAGAGGAGGGAGAGAGGAGGGAGAGAGGAGGGAGAGAGCGGAGAGAGGAGGGAGAGAGAGAGAGAGAGATAGAGGAGGGAGGGAGGGAGAGAGAGAAAGGAGGGAGAGAGAGAGAGAGAGAAAGGAGAGAGAGAGAGAGAGAGAGCGAGAGAGAGAGAGAGCGAGAGAGAGAGAGAGCGAGAGAGAGAGAGAGCGAGAGAGAGAGAGAGCGAGAGAGAGAGAGAGCGAGAGAGAGAGAGAGCGAGAGAGAGAGAGAGCGAGAGAGAGAGAGAGCGAGAGAGAGAGAGAGCGAGAGAGAGAGAGAGCGAGAGAGAGAGAGAGCGAGAGAGAGAGAGAGCGAGAGAGAGAGAGAGCGAGAGAGAGAGAGAGCGAGAGAGAGAGAGAGCGAGAGAGAGAGAGAGCGAGAGAGAGAGAGAGCGAGAGAGAGAGAGAGCGAGAGAGAGAGAGAGCGAGAGAGAGAGAGAGCGAGAGAGAGAGAGAGCGAGAGAGAGAGAGAGCGAGAGAGAGAGAGAGCGAGAGAGAGAGAGAGCGAGAGAGAGAGAGAGCGAGAGAGAGAGAGAGCGAGAGAGAGAGAGAGCGAGAGAGAGAGAGAGCGAGAGAGAGAGAGAGCGAGAGAGAGAGAGAGCGAGAGAGAGAGAGAGCGAGAGAGAGAGAGAGCGAGAGAGAGAGAGAGCGAGAGAGAGAGAGAGCGAGAGAGAGAGAGAGCGAGAGAGAGAGAGAGCGAGAGAGAGAGAGAGCGAGAGAGAGAGAGAGCGAGAGAGAGAGAGAGCGAGAGAGAGAGAGAGCGAGAGAGAGAGAGAGCGAGAGAGAGAGAGAGCGAGAGAGAGAGAGAGCGAGAGAGAGAGAGAGCGAGAGAGAGAGAGAGCGAGAGAGAGAGAGAGCGAGAGAGAGAGAGAGCGAGAGAGAGAGAGAGCGAGAGAGAGAGAGAGCGAGAGAGAGAGAGAGCGAGAGAGAGAGAGAGCGAGAGAGAGAGAGAGCGAGAGAGAGAGAGAGCGAGAGAGAGAGAGAGCGAGAGAGAGAGAGAGCGGAGAGAGAGAGCGGAGGGAGAGAGAGCGGAGAGAGAGAGAGCGGAGGGAGAGAGAGCGGAGAGAGAGAGGAGGGAGAGAGAGCGGAGAGAGAGAGAGGAGGGAGAGAGAGCGGAGAGAGAGAGAGGAGGGAGAGAGAGAGCAGAGAGAGAGAGCGGGGAGAGAGAGAGGAGGGAGAGAGAGAGAGCGGAGAGAGAGAGAGAGGAGGGGGAGAGAGAGAGCGGAGAGAGAGAGAGAGAGAGGAGGGGGAGAGAGAGATGCATGGTTACATAGTATTTGAGGTTGAATAAAGACACAGGTCCATCAAGTTCAACCTTTGTGTGTGAGTGTATATGAGCCCCTTGGGGTCTAAGGCTTTAAGAGTACCTGTCCCCCTGTATGTTACGGTCTCTGAGGAAAGTATCTAATTGGTTTTTGAATGATGCAATACTCTCCTCTGATACCACTGCTTGTGGCAGAGAGCTCCAAAATCTAACCACTCTGACTGAGAAGAACCCCCTCCGCCCTTTGCAGTTAAATCTTTTCTCCACCAGTTTTATGTGGGGGCCTCTAGTCCTTGTCGGGGAGTTTAGAGTTAAAAGTTTATTGCCTATGTTGCCGTCACCGCCAAACATTTTGTACTCCAGAATCACGTCCCCTCTCAGTCTCCGCACTTCCAGCGTGAACAAGTTTACATTTAGTAGCCGCGTCTCATAGCTCAGGTCCTCCAGCCCCTTCATTAGTTGTGTTGCCCTTCTCTGGACTCTCTCCAGCTCCAGGACGTCCTTTCTGTGGATTGGTGACCGAAACTGGACCGCATACCCCAGATGAGTCGGAACCAGAGATCTATAAAGTGTCAGAATGATTGCTTTGTCTCTACAGAACATTCCCTTTATAATACAAGACAGAACTCTGCTCGCTTTGTTTGCCGCAGCCTGGCACTGCAAGCTATTGTTCACCTGTGGTCCACAATGACTCCCCGATCTTTTCCCAACTCTGACTCCCCTATAGTGTATAGATAGATAGATACTGTATACAGAGTGTATACTGTGTTTGTATCAGTGACGTGCGGTACCTAGGTGCCGATCTGAATGGAGAAAAAGCTGTCAGCTACAGACATGAAGCTGACAGCTTTTTCCTCCATAATTCTAGGTGAGGCTCCGCCCCCCCTGCCCGCACGTCCCTGCTATGTGTATATATATATACAGTATATCAGAAGCAGCTAAACATTACATAAGAGCATAGAGATGGAGAGATGAGGTCATCAGTCTGCCACTTCTCCTTTCACTGGACAATCACAGTCTGCCCTCTTGCCGGACAGGGCTGTTCTGTGTGGCAGAGCTGTGTAAATTTCAGGACTGGATGGCAGGAGAAGCAGCTCCCCTGTGTGTATTTCATTTGTGCGTTTATAATAAGAATCGTCTCTCCTCACAGCCGTCCTGACGCTTTACTTCCTGAACTACCTGCACTGGGACGAGAACCTGTCCACCACCGTCTACCACGCCTTCTCCGGGCTCTGCTACTTCACCCCGATCATCGGAGCCCCCATCGCCGACGCCTGGCTGGGCAAGTTCAAGTGAGTTCTGGTGGCGTCGGCTCCAAGCCGCCCATCTGATTTATATGAAGCGCAGAGTCGCCTGCTCCGCGCAGACTGACGTGTGAACTCTCCTCTGCTCCCGCAGCACCATCTTTTGGCTGTCCATCCTGTACGTGATCGGTCATGTGATCAAGTCGGTGGGCGCCATCCCTGACGTGGGAGGCACGGAGGTCCACGTGTAAGTATGCCGCTCCGACCCCCTGCGCGAAATAAATCAGGGTGTGTACCGACTATAGATGAGCACGAGGAATACCGTCATCACTTTGGTCAGATGAATGTGGAGCTCACCTGTCAGGAACAAAGGTCGGCGTTCCGCTTTAAGAGAGACAGGTGGGCTCATTGTACGTAATCTTCTGTCTCCGCCTCTTTTTCAGGGCTCTGTCTCTGATTGGCCTGATTGCTATCGCCTTCGGTACCGGAGGTATCAAGCCCTGTGTGTCGGCCTTCGGCGGTGATCAGTTTGATGAAGAACACGTAAGACTTTTATCTATTTGGAAGCAATATTAAAAGTCCAGAAAGAGGAAAAGCCGCTGTATGTGGTGCAGTTTGTAAGGGGGAGGGGAGAGGAAATACTTCCTCCTGCCTGTACTAAGGAAATACTTCCTCCTGCCTATAGCAGACTAATCACTGGGGGAGGGGAGACTGAGGAAATGCTTCCTCCTGCCTGCAGCAGACTGATCGCTGGGGGGAGGGGAGGCTGAGGAAATGCTTCCTCCTGCCTGCAGCAGACTGATCACTGGGGGAGGGGAGAGTGAGGAAATGCTTCCACCTGCCTGCAGCAGACTGATCACTGGGGGAAGGGGAGACTGAGGAAATACTTCCTCCTGTCTGCAGCAAACTGATGACATCACCTCAGCCAATCACATGTCTATGGGCTTGTGTTGATGGCATCAGTTTGAGATGCTTCTGAGATCATTCAGAATTCACAGACAGGTGCATGTGACCTGCTTTAAAGTAGGAAGCCACAACTTTTTCAATGGAGAAAGGGAGCGTTGTAACCCCTATTTTCAGGTCCCATTGGGGAGATTTCCCTTCACTTCCTGTTTGATAGCCACAACAGGAAGTGAGAGAAAATCCCTGGTGGTCGTCAAAACCAGTGAAAGAGCTCCCATCTATTCCTGTCCTGGTGACAACCCAAAATTTGGGAACTTCTGTCACTTTCAGTGTTAACTGTCACCAGGAAAACTAGAGAGGGCAAATCTCCCTAACGGGGACACAGGCCGCAATAAAAACCTGGCAGAGGTCCTAATCCATCCCCCACTCCATCCAAAACTGAGAACGTGTTGGCTTCAGTTGCACTTTCAGGGGGGAATTCATCAAAACCGGAGCAGGCAGAATGTGGAGCAGTTGTCCATGGCAACCAATCAGCTTCTCTCTTCGGTTTGTTCAGTTGGGCTTTGAGTTCAACTCCAGATTCTGTCTGCTCCAGTTTCGATAAATCCCCCTCTCGGGCCTTGTTCACACCACAGCGTTCAGTTCCAGAGCACGGGGAAAAACTGCAGCATGCGTTATGTTTTCTGCTCTGGAATGCACCAAAACGCATGCAAATGCATTAAAAACGCCTTCTTTTTTTTCTGTAATGGCCCGGAACGCAGCAAAACACACTGCACTGCGTGTGCAGAAACACGTGCAGATCTGGTCCGGATTGGGTGTGAACGAGCCCTCGGTGTTCAAGCCCTCTTGATACAATCAATACATACAAATAAAAAAAATGGAGCGCTTCTACCAAATAAAACCAGCAACCGGAGCGACTATAACATGGGTGCAAAAAAGGAAAAAAGGGCCTCAGTCATGAAGGGGTTAAAGTGAACAAATGTCCCTCATCACAGACCCTTAGGAACTGTTTTTTCAGACACGTGACTGTCATTGTTAAGTTTCGTTGGACACATTCCTGAATTGAGCCGGTCGCGGTTTTGGCTCAGCAGTTGTCTAAGTGGTCTCACAAATGTTTTTCTTCTTTTCTGGCTCCTCCAGGTAAAAGAGAGAGGGAAGTTCTTCTCCATCTTCTACATGTCCATCAACGCCGGCAGTCTCATCTCCACCTTCGTGACGCCGATACTCCGAGGTCAGTTCCTTCGTCCGACTCAAGTCATATAGACGGGTCTGCTGGCGCAAATATGGCGAGCCGTTGTTTCCTGCTGGCGGCCATTTCTTTAAAGTGACATTGGAGAGAGAGAGAGAGCGGAGAGAGAGAGAGAGCGGAGAGCGAGAGAGCGAGCGGAGAGAGAGAGAGAGAGCGGAGAGAGAGAGAGAGCGGAGAGCGAGAGAGCGAGCGGAGAGAGAGAGAGAGAGAGAGGAGAGAGAGAGAGAGAGAGAGACACAACTCCAAACAATATTAGCAACAAAATTGAGGAATAGAATAGAAGAAAGAATGTGATACTCACATAGATAGGTTTGCGAGAAATCTCTTTGGGGATATCAGGCAACCTAAGGTGCAAGAAAGGTGTGCAGGGAATACTTCGGTTCCCGCCGGGATGGTCACTCTGGGTGCTGGTCGGGGGTGGATTTCGGATGATCCGTAGCTTGGCAGCTAGAGGAACCCAATGTAGGAAAGCAAAAATTGGAGACGGAAGCGCCACTACCTGGCGCAATAAATGTGGCAGAGCAGGATATGAGCGTAAGTGATGCACTCACCTACGGCTGGGTGAGCATTCGCTTGTAGCAATCCGGGTGGTGTGCAAAACAGCAAAGGCGCCCAGGTGGTAGAAATGAAATGATTCTTCGTGTTTCTTCAACTTCTAAGATGGCCACTTCTTCAGGAGGGTGTGATGAGACACTATAGGAAGAGTGAGCATCACACGTCATACAGTGTATGTACATATATATATATACTTTATATTGTTATCATCCAATAATATGATGGTGGGTGTGTCTAAGGGGGATCTGGATATTAGGATGACTCCGGAAAGATTTCCATGGTCACCTTTAGATGTAATGAAGATTACTTAGTCTAGATTCGAAACATCCTAATATTCAAGTCCAGATACAAGTTTATTCCAAAGACAAATATTTACCAACGCGTTTCAGGGCTAAGCTCAGACCGCTTCATCGGGGCCGGAACATGACATAAGGGATAAAAAAAATATTCATGATAAAAAGGGTTTTTAAAGCATTGATATGTTTATTCAATACCCAACGTCACATACTGTCATACGGTGCTAACGTTTCGGGTCCGCACAGGGATCCTTCATCAGAGCGACAGTCACTGTGCGGACCCGAAACGTCTGCACCGTATGGCAGCATGTGACGTTGGGTATTGAATAAACATATCAATGCTTTAAAAACCCTTCAAGTGTGTGCCGGTCAGGCCCGGCGCTACCGCAAGGCAAGTCAGGCGGCCGCCTGAGGGCGCTGCAGGGTGAGGGCGGAAAAAACAGGGCATTTTGACAAGTACTTGTACTTGTCAAAATGCCCCGATGCTTGCGCTATGTTTTTTTTTTCACTTACCTTCGCTGCGGGAGAGCAGCGACGAGTCAGCGCTGGTCCGGTTTTTACAGGGGGTCGGGGGGTCGGGGCGCAAAAATGCACCTTACCTGTGTAGGCAAGAATCCTAGCACCGGCCCTGGTGCCGGTGATTTACTTTTATTTACTATTAGTGTTTTGCACGGCGCCAATCCGTGTGGTCACCTGGGCACCACATATACCTCGTTGTTTTGAGCCCGTGGCAGTGCCAATGGGATTTGGACTTTGCCCTCATAGTACCAGGCACGTCCTCTCACACCTCCTATCTGTCTATCTTGCAGGAGACGTCCAGTGCTTCGGAACGGATTGTTACGCCCTGGCATTCGGCGTTCCGGCCGCTTTGATGTTTTTTGCGCTGAGTAAGTGAACTTTTTTTTGGGGGGGGCGGCAATTCTTTATTTTAATGCTTAAATTATTATGTAACGTTCCATGTAGACAGGAGAAGGAAATGACAAGAATGAACCTGCGATATGATACAGTAGAGGAATTCAAACATTGTCACTGGTCTATCATTTGAGAACATCGATTACACGGTAGTAGGAGGAGTCGTCCGACGCCTGCGTCTAAGAAAAGGAACGTACAACAGCAGAAAGTTTCCCAGCGCACTCACCAGCCGGCATGTAAAATAAAACCAGTCTGACCGATAAGGTTAAAAACAGAGATTTTAGATACGCGTCTTCTGCAGAATATGTGAAAGCCGCACAGCCGCGCCAAGGCACCTCTATATAGTGCGGTCCTAACTCTAGACTATGAGAGTCTCCATCTTGGAGCACATGGGGGCAGAAGATAAAATTGGGCGCAGGTTCGCCAGGAGGCAGCCCAACCTCCCTTAAAGGCACAGGGACAGCCAAGGGTCCCCGCACATCACAACGGCAGCTGAGACCCCCACTGTGTCACAGCACCCAAATCAGTCAGGCAAAACAAATGGCAAACGCACTCATCACTTTGTTACCAGCTTTACAGCGCGGTGCACACGGAAGGGCTTCATACAGGACAACAGCAAAAAGTTTCCCAGCACACTCACCAGCCAGCTTAAGAAAAAGAACGTGGCACCGATGATAAAGAATCACAGAGTGGAAAAATTAAGTGTATGTAAAGGCAAAACATTTTTTTAATAGAGCAGGGAAGGATTATATCCCCTGTAAAGCTTTTATTGCTGTGTTTGTCCTGCTGGGAAGATTCACCGTCTCTCTTTGCGTTGGTGACGATTATGATTGGGACTAAAAGTGATTCTCCCGCCATCAGATCAGTCGGTTTGAGTCATAAATAAACCACAGAGACTTTGTTTTATATTCAGGAATTGTGCTTGGCCCCGGGGCCACTCTGTCCCTGGTGTGCCGGAGCCGACCCCCTCAGATCTGCGTCCAAGCAACAGATCCGATGAAAGCGCTGTGTATGCGCCGGGGCTGTGGGTGAATGATTCCCTTCATGTAGACAGAAGAACGTCGGGTCATGTGAGGACACGCCGAGTACTTTGTACGGGATGCATGTCTGACAATGTCTTCTCCCTTCTCTCCTGCAGTTGTGTTTGTCAGCGGCAGCGGCATGTATAAGAAGCACCCGCCGCAAGGAAACATCTTAGCTCAAGTCTTCAAGTGCATCGGAGTAAGTTTTATCCGCAGAGCCGACGCTCACATTTCATAGATTGCAGCGTCACTCCTCCCTAAAGTGACAGACCCGGGAACTCAGCACAGGGATGGTGGGAGCTCCTCATAATGGGCACAGCGGGTGTACAGACCCGGGAACTCAGCACAGGGATGGTGGGGGCCCCTCATAATGGGCACAGCGGGTGTACAGACCCAGGAACTTGGCACAGGGATGGTGGGAGCTCCTCATAATGGTCACAGCGGGTGTACAGACCCGGGAACTCAGGGATGTTAACTAGCATTTGCATCTCTAAGGAAAGTCTTCCTTTCAATGGCAGAACATTTAGACTCTATAAGGCCCATTTACGAGCACACTGTCATTTATGTTTGTCCTCTAGACTTGAGGAAAGAAGGGGAAGGGGGGACATCATTGAAACCTGTTTTTTTTTCCAAAGTTTCCATGAATGTCTCTTTGCTCCCCCAACACACACACAATGTACTTCTGGTTCAGCGGTCCGAGCAGAGTGAGAGGAAACTGAACCATCTCCATGTTTTGTCTTTCTCATCCTCAGTTCGCCATTAAGAACCGCTGGAGAAATCGCTCCAAACAAATCGCCAAGAGGGAGCACTGGCTGGACTGGGCCACTGAGAAATATTCGGTAAGTGTGAGCATCTCCTGGCTCGCTGCCTTCTTCATAGGTCATCTCAACGTCCTTTCTCAGCTTCTTGACATTTTTTGGTCCATAATTTAATAAAAAAACATATTGGTGGGCAATGAACGCAAGAGAAGGTCAAATCAAACCTAAAACTCCAAGTTTTGAAGGCTGTTCTTTGTCTTTCGGGGGGTATCTGGGGGTCCCAGAGCAGTCTAGGAAGTAGATAAAAAGATGAGTCCAGTAAAAAGGACGATACCCATGCGTTTGATGGGCTTAAAGCTCTACCTTCATCAGAGCTACATGTTGTCCTGAGTCCAGTGGAACGCAATGGATTTATCGTTTGACCTCTTGTCATGAGAAATACATTTTTATTGGACTTATTTTATATTTTTAGCATTCTGATCCTTCTACATATTTCTTTGGCCATGGCAGACATAGGCACAACAAGTGACCTTTCACCCCTAACCC